GGTCAGCGCCGACATGACTAACATCATGTGGCATCTCCTATCGTGGAAGGGAAAACTCCCAGAGATTTTCGGGGTGCAGTGGGAGCTCATATTTTAGTGTAAATTATCTGCTTGCGAAACAAGCGGACCCGAAGCTTGTAAGTTTAAAGCCTGCCACGGAGGGTCGAAAGCGTCTTTGATAAACGTGCTTAAATTTTACAACTACTAAAAAAATTATCCCGGATGAAAAATAAAAATAGTGTAGCAAATGATTGCTTCAAGCAGCGAACAAGAACCGATGCCGTAAATTTTTTGACCCGATGAACAAAAAAATTTACCGGACAGGAACCAGTTTGATGATGGTGTTTCAAATCGAATGAATAGAAAACTGGTGTTTTAAAATCGAACTAGAAAACTATTGCAGGTTAGAAATATTTTTAAATAGTTGGCACACATAAAAATACAATAAAATATTCTGCTTCAGGTGTAAATTAGATTTTCACTAACAGCTGTAATGCCAAGAGTATTTTGGCATCTAATGGGATTTGTTCCACTTTAAAAAAATTAATTTTTTTAATAAAATAACACAGCAAGACTATATTTTTATTCAATTAAGTCTTACTTTAACAGCAATTGTTCAAGTATAATTAATTAAGATTTCTGCAATATAAATGGTTCACGAACCTTTCCAGAGCTAAAAAAACATCATGTAACTATAAGTATTGGGTTATGCAATGACATGATTTCATTCATATTCTTATAAACTCGCATTAATGTTCATTACTTCCACGACTAGATCGTCCCTAGCGTGGTTGCGAAAGCTGATGACTAGCATATTTCCTTATTCACTAATCATATTCCTAAACTGTTCGGAAAAACCCTTGGTTATGAATCGTAAGAACAGTTAGCTGATTACTCTGCATTGAACGGGAACTATTTTAGTAAGTCATCTGAGCATTGATTTCTGTGTCACTCATTGGCTGAGAAGATTGTGTTGTTCCCAGTAAGGAAGCCACTAACAATACCGTTTGTAGTGACGTTACAATAGTGCGGGCTTGCCATTGGTTGGCACATCCATGACGCGTCAAGAATTTCGTGACGTCATTGTTAACTAGAAGGTAGGCACCGCGAGCGTTTATGCCTCTGCACGAGTATCCCCTGAAAACTCTACCGATAATTAAGACCAATATCACAACATCCGTAAGCACGCGGTAAATACCTAGCGTGGGGCGTAGTTGTGAAAACAATACTGCGATGAAATGAGAAAAGAGGCAGAGTAGTTTAGAGTTTGACCGGAAGCTTAATTCCTCACAAACTTGTTCACACCAGATGGACCCATCAGGCGTGGTGATTATTTAAGTATCTCATACAAGTTTGCGAGTTACATAGATTCCTGCAACTATTTGATCAGCTATTCAATTTAATCATTTGACCTGCATATTCAATAAAGAATTAACTAACGTAATGATTCTTATCAATTAATATTAACTTAGACATGATGAATACTTAATTTCCAACCAACTTCCGGATTAGTTTCCAATTTATGCCTCAAGTTATACAATTAAAATGAGACATAGTTAGCCTGTGACTTATTTCGGCTGACTTCGCTAGCCTACGCTGTAAAATTTAAAAGAGGAAGAATGTTTCTCTGTTGTTTGTTATTCTTTCAATGTTGTTTCTATGCACTATTTGAAAGAACTAAAAGTGAAAATATCTCTGCTTAACATAAATACAGTCGAGTCTTTTCTGTCGCAATAGGAATTTTTTGGCCTTTTATGATAGTACCACCAATTCAAAAAAAAATTACCGTTATTGCCACGTCACAGCTTTTTGCTTTCATCAGATCGTGATGTGTCGAAAGAAATTTACCGGCATCACGTCGCGATTAAAGTATGAAAGAAATTTGACACTTGGCTCTGAAAAAAAGTCACGAAAACTGGCAGCCTTGACATTAACTCAAAAAGTGATGGCATTGTACGTGATATGATCGCTGCTTTTCAACGGTTTTCAGACCCGTGATCAAAAAGCCTCACGTTTCGATTTTTTGTCAAAAGCCTCGCGAACAATATTACCAATTAACAAATTTTTTAACAGCTTGCCCAGTCTAATTTCAAGATTAAATTGTTTTGTACTACAGTGAATCGACATTTGATACATTACACAAAGGTTTATAACGGCAGCGCAGTTAAGAACAGTTTGTACTCGTAAAAAGAACCACGTAATTCAGCGACCTGTTCGGTAGTCTTGGCATAGGGATATTTACCTTAAAAAATACTGTCACATAACTGCCAAACAATACGTTCATCGCAGGTCAAACATCCGGTTTCCTGAGAACTGCACATCTCTTATGTTTTTTCCGCTCAGGTCACATAAAAGAATTCGAAGGAGAAAGTTGTGTGCAGTGAACCTTTAGACGTCACCATGGTTACAGTTCATACTTTCCTGAGTGAGAAAAATATTTTTGAACGTCCAGTACGAATGCAGTGAGTATTTTTTAGGTGCGAACTTGTCCTCCAATGGATTGTATTTGGTCTCTAATATTCATTGGAAGATACGTCTTTTATTGGCCAGACGTTGGCCGGATCATTCGGAAAAGGAAAAGAAGTATCTCTAGACTTTGTATCTTAAAATTTAAGATAAATTATGATTCAGGAAGCGAAAAAGCTTGTGTTCCAAACATAAGGTTTCAACGAGTCACTTATTTACTCTCAGATTTTTGTTGTTCGTTCTAGAAGTCATCAAGCACAACACTTATCCTTGCATAAAAAACACTTTTACAAGAAGACACCTACGCATTAAAAAACTTTTACAGATAAAAGCACGCATGTGTCACTAACGATTTACACATATATAACAATTATGCATCAAAAACTATTTTCACGCACAAAAGACAATTTTGCCTCGAAAACGATTTTCACAAATAGGGCACTTACGCATCGAAAACGTAAAAATATAACTCAGTACTCACTGCAGTGAGTGACAGAGAGCGCATTTTTCTCGTCGACGAAAACTTGAGGTCCCGGACGGACGGACAGACAGACAGACGGACATGGCGAGCACAATAGTGCATTTTTTCCATAAATGAGAAAATGCGCTAAAAATGCTATTATATGCATCGAAAACGATTTTTCACAAATCAAAGACTATTATGCATCAAATACGATTTTCACAAATAAGGCAAATATGCATTGAAATTGTATTTTTTTATAAATTTTATAAATCAATAAATCAATAATGATTGATTTATATATTTTATAAATCAATCATTATACATCAAAAACGATTTTAACAGACAAGACAATAAAGCATCGAAAACGATTTATAAAAAATAACGCAATTATGCATTGAAAACGTGATATAAGCGCTGCTTTTCAACGGTTATCAAATCCGTGAACAATAAGCCTCTCGCTTTGATTCTTTCTTTCCTAGCAAACAATACGTATTGTTGAATAACAAAATTTCTGACTGCTTGCCTAGACTAATTAAGTTCAAGATTAAATTGTATTGTACTACAGTGCATCGACATTGAATGCATTACATGAAGGTTTTATAACGGCAGCGCAGATAAGAACAGTTCGTAAGCAAAAAGAACCACGTAATTCAGTGAACTATTCGGTATCCTTGCCATATGGTTATTTACCTTGCAAAATATTATCGGTTGACTGCAACACAATACATTCATCGCAGGTCAAACGTCCAGGTTCCTGAGAAGTTCCCATATCCCATGTATAATTTTTCCGCTTATGTCACATAAAAATAATTCGAAGGAGAAAGTTGCTTGCATTGAACCTTCGGACGTACCCATGGTTACATTTTCAAAGCTGTCATCGAGTCATTTATTTAATCTCACATTTATTTGTTTGTTCTATAAGCCATCAATAATAACACTCATATTTGAATTAAAAACCACTTTTACAAGAAGACACCTACTCATAAAAAATACTTTTACAAATAAAATCACGTATGTGTATCACTAACGATTTTCTCAAATAAGAAAATTTTGCATCAAAAACGACTTTTCAAAAATAAAATAATTGTGCATCGGAAACGAATTTTTTAAAAAAAATAAGGCAATTATGCATCGAGGACGATTTCTAAAAAATAAGACAATTATGCATCAAAAACTATTTTCAATAATAAAAACATCCCAGGAACCGCACACGAGAGCTAAATAGTCGTCTATCGCCATGTGAGATGCAAATATCAACAAAAAGTTACTCCCTTGCAAACCTTAGAGAATTTACAAATTTCGACGAGAAGAGATTCCGGGAAGAATAAGCTAATTTCAGTAATTATAATAACAGGGTTCGTAACCACGTGAGTGTGCAGCATTTTACTCATTGAGGAATTACCCGCCAAAACATATATTATATCTTGTAGGAAATATATTGTGTGATATCCCCCGGGGTATGTTTTCTGCACACCGTTGTTATGATTTACATTACGCGGCGCGGGAGATAACCAGCAGGATACAGCGGCAGCTTGTTTCCTGCTCTCGCTCTTAAGCCTCAACATATCCCCCGTAATTTACGCTGCACACTACATACAGGTAACTCTGACGACAGTATTATTATAATAAATTTTACATGTTAAGTTTGCAGCAAAGAATACATTCAAAGAAGAAGTTTGAATTATTTCTTCATAGTCTCACACAGTCAATTACGTTCTCTCTATACGTACTAGTATAGTTAGGGCCTTAATTTAGATTAACTGGGCGTATGAGTAACATCAGTTTAAATTACTTACAACACACGCAAGATAAATAATCAACACGGGCATGAACCCATAGATGACTGCCGCTCTCAAAAATCGGAAACATTGGGCGAGGTCTAGCGCAAGTGCAGCATTCCATTAACGTAGTTTTTTCCTTGAAATTAGTAGAGGCTGCAGGAGCAGAGGCAGGTTGTAGAGCATGCAACGCATCTCGGGAGTTCCCCTGTTCAAGAACGGGGGCGGAGCCGCGGCACACGAGTATTGCAGTGCAGCATGACTACGACGAACGCGCCCGCTGTCCCGTCAAAACTTCGCTACTCGCTGCCGCGCGCGGACGTGAGCCTCGCAAGAATTTAAAGGTGTACTGTACTTATGGGAACTGCGCGATATCCCGAGTGATTCTTGAACTTTTTAATTTGTGTAGAAAGTGATTACACCGAGTTGATTAGTTTCCCCAATTAATCGAACGTTGTAAAAGTGACGTTTTCAGTGATAAAGACGAGAGAATGCCTTCTCTTGTTTCGTGAAGCAATAACAGAGAAAATATTTATTCTCTTTCCAAGTGTTTAACAACAAAGTGAAAATGCAAGTCGAAGTACCATTTGCGAATATTGCCCAAGGCATTTTGCGCCCGGCAATGGGCACCATCGCCTCTATACCCATCAGACTTGTGCTGAACAATATTGGGTGAGTGACCGCAGACTTTCTCAACAATCAATGACAGCAAAACTGGCGTCTAAAAACCAGTGATTCAACGAAATATTTGAGTAGTTACTGTAACACCGCATGAAATGTACACGTTTTCCGTCACCGAATTTTGGTGCCTAAAAAGTAGCAATCCAGACGACCAGCCGTGAAAACGATATCCAGACTTTAATAAGTCTGATCTGACTGTGTAAGTTTACAAAGGCACAATTATAAACAACAATATTCTGCACGCAAGCAATAATTCTCATGTTCATTTAGTTAAAACTCCACTCTGGCACTTGTTGTCGCAGTTTCTGATCACAAAAATGCTTATTGTTTAATTTGTCTTATTCGTAAAATTAGCGATTATTTCAGTGTCCATTTGTCAACTGTGATCAATTGATTTTCAAATGGCATAAAATCGGGCAAGTTCATTGATTTCATGGCATCACCGGAATAAATATGCCATCGCATAATACGGTATATTACTAATATTCTCAGTCGGCGTGTTTATATTATTGACAGGCTCACATGAGACTAATAACGTACATTATCAGAAGTGCTCTTGGAGCATGCAAAATGTAACGTAAACGAAATAAATTGATGCATCAAAATGCGTTATTTTGGAGGTTGTGCTTCATGAACCGTACTAGTATGTAGATAATAATTGCGATTAATTCACTTCGCAGTTCCTATATTTCAAGTAAAAAATTGTTCAGAAAATCTCTTTAGATTACATTTATCAGTACATCAATGTTAATGATAAAAATCCAAAGTCAATTATTTACCTATTTTATAATTTATTAAGTGTCACTGCCAATGTCAATTATTCACCAACATTTACCCTAGATGGCTCATTTCACGATATGCGCGCTCGACAACCACGGGCTTACCTGGTCGCAAGAATTGTTCGTGTTTGTTGCTGACAAAACTAATATTTGTAATCCCCTATTATTGTGATACTAATAGTTATTGAATGCTGACCTAAATTTATCTTTACACTAAACAACAAAATACGAAACTTTGACGCAAGTTAAGTTCCCTGACAAGATTCAGACAGCGACGAGCTTTTCGCTACAGTTGCAACTTCAACTGCTACTCATATTACAATATTTCTGCATGTATTTCATCAACTTCGCAGCCTTGCGCATTACGGTCCGCAGAGTCCCGCCTAGTTGCATAGAAAGCATTAGTGGCAAAAGCAGGTGGGGAGCTGCATCGAGCTCTCGCGCACCACCCATTTCCTTATACAGAGCAGCAGGTTCTAGCACATTCTCTCCCCTACCCACGGCTAAATGAAGGCTGGCCATGCAAGTGGTGCACTTGCAATAAAAACTGAACCAGCCAGGGGACTCCCCCTTAGGACAGGCCAGGTTCTGAGCGCACTCGCTTCCGAGCGCTCTAGAACTGTCGTAGTTAGTTGCCTTAAAGTTTCAAGGTAGGTGCAAGTGTGGACCTTGACGCCGTCAATAGGAGGAAATGGAAATTAGAGCCGCTCCAGTTTGAAAAAAATAATGGAGGCGACCAATTAAATACTCAGCAATTCATGCGATTTAATTTTTATGCTATCGAGAAGTGAAAATCAATTAACTGGTAACAGTTTACAAATTCGGATAACTCCTTCGAAAAAGTCCCACGTGCATTTTAAATGTTACTAAGAAACCATCAGTCCATGTTTTCATTAAAATACGTGGAAGAAATTATAATTAGCAGTTTCACAGAAAATGTTCCTGGAATTATAAGCCGGGCATTGTTTCAGCAATTGCTACCGATGACACCAGCGTCCGTAATTGCTTTCGATTAGCAAAAGCAGCTTCGAGCCGCAAACGCTTTCGTGGAAGTCTCGCTTGTGGCTGCGAGCCAAATGAGATCATCGAAAAATAAAGGCGCACGCTCAGCTTTCTGCTGCGGTGCCTGTGCAATATACAGAGGTCTGCAATAGCGGTGAGCAGCAACGATAACAACAATCAACACTTAAACAGCGCATTGCAGCTAATGACCGAACTTAAAAAAAAATTAGTCGAAAAGTCATCCTCTGAGAGCATTTAAATCTAAATTGTATTTTGCTTGTCGAAGGCTATCAATGTGAAAGCGAAGCAGATGGAACAACCCAAACTCTGTATAGCAACTAAAATAATTGCTCTTCTTATAATTCAAAAACATCGGTATTGTAGACTGGTCATAAGGCGAAGAAGCTCTTTTCTCGAATTAAAAATATAGAAGGACTTAGACGTTTAGACGTAGGTGCGGCTTACGTGTTAGAGTAACAGAGAGAACCTTGCCGATTGAGACGTGTGGACACGCGGCAGTATCGAGCGCAAGGCCACAAGTTTTTACTTCGCAAATTTGCTGCGATTCTGAAAATTACCGTAGCCATACTACCTACGTTTGGGTACCGACACCTTGAAGGTCTAAAAACTATGAAATTGATTCTCCGTTTCCCGTCACTTGATTTGTGCCCACAGGAAATAAACAAATGAGTAAGTTTTGAGCAAGTTATTAAAAGAGTTAAATTAAGAACACAAAACATTACAAAGTTTATTTTATAAAAAAGCCTTTAGCACCGAAACTGTTACACAGTGACTGCGAAATTATAAGTAACAGAACACATGAAATTTATATCTTATAGATTTGAAGCACAGATCATTTTGATTGAATTTTTGTTTTAAACAGAATTACATAAATGTACTCGAATGCGTACATTTGTGCTTTGTACACGAATGCAGAGGTTATTAAATTTAAAGTCTGATCCATATTTTTTTCGCGTGACTGAACATTATACGGTACTGGCCAAGTTATAAATGAACCTGATATCCCAGTTGCCCTGAGGTCAGTTTCTTTATGTGTACGAGGAACTAAGATGGCTGGTGAATGACGGTCACTAAGATGGCTGGTGAATGACGGTCATTACGTCACTGGGTGATTCAGAGAGTTTTGGCGCTGGGCAGGGAGGGGCCCGACCGTTCGTTATCCGAGGCCAGAGCTCGTCATTGAGCTCAGTAATTGTTGGCTGCAAGAAAATATCTCCTGCACATCACACGTACACATTCAAATACCATATTAATAGAGAGGAAAAGCTAACGGAGACTTACATGAAGGTTGTCGAATACCTGACTCGTGCCAAATCCAAAGCCTATATATCCTAAACGCCTGATTATTAAAATGGGCGTTTCTAGGTATAGAACGGAATGCATTACGGCTTAAACCCGCACCTATTACTTCTAAATCGTATCTGAGCGTCCCCCCATAAAATTTTTCTTTTAATTTTAATTGTTAAATCTCAAGACCAAATTTCAATTACTAAATATCTTTAAAATCCTAATCAAACGCTTCCAAGCACGTCTTCCAAGTTAGATTTCCACTCAGTACAGGATGAAAAAAAATTTGCGTGCCAATTGATAAATTACAATGATGAAGGAAATTAGAATTAAATTAGAAGCAGACTGTCGAGGGTTTTGTCCGGTAGATACCTCCTGCCAAAGCTTGTCCTGATAGATCAGCGCCCTGCTGGTTATCGAGGCGGTGGCCGCCGCTGGTGCTGCGCTCGCTTGGCCTTGGCATTTGAGCTCCCGCGCCACCGCCGCCGCCGCGAGCTCGGCCGTGCGAGGCTCAGCGAGCATTCCTGCACCCGCTCATCCTTGGAGTCAGCCGCTCCAGTTTCCCGCATAAATGATATCGTGAACAACGGGCGGATTTTTTGCGCCGAAGATCCAGCTAAAATCGTACGACTCTGAGTTATAAATAACATAAATCGTAGGCAGAGTATATTTAGGTGTTTATATTAGGAACATGCCTATACGCAAAAGAAGATGGGATGCTCAATAAATAGAAGTCTGATTTTTTAACATCATCATTGATATTTTCGTTAATAAAGCTCTCATTCTTATGGCTATTCAAAACTAAAATTTCAAGAGAACTATTTTGTTTGAAGCTTTGTGGCTGCAAACTCACACGTAGGAAACTGGCTGCAAACATTGCGTTCCTCAGTGAGCCAAGATGGCTTGCACGAGGATTTAAATGATACATATCTCTCATTAATGCATCGTTCGTTCCTGGAACTTGTTCTACTCAGAAATGAAGCAATTAAAATAATAATACTTTTCATCAGAGCCGCATCCATAAAAGACACTTACGAAACGGATTATTTCACAAATTAAAATTCCAAATAAACATAAATATTTTATTTATCTTGATCGCACGTGAATTGCGAATACAAACAATGCTTATGAATGCAGTCTAACGCCTAACTATCGCCAAATAGCTTGTATATTACAATATGTTTGCGGTGCAAAGCAGGTCCGTCTTGCCGCCCACTACGCATCACTTGATAAGGCTGCATCCAACGCATAAACACGGGCTTTGGCAGGATTCTTATCAAGCCCTGCATGAAGTACACACCGTAGCTCACAGATGGCACGCTCACACACAGCAATTGCTTTTGAATTATGACCATGATTGATGTAGCCCCTTTTTATTCTCCTCACTCAGGTTTATAAATCATCACCGTTCATCTAACAGCAACATTTTTTGATGCTCAGACTGCTTCACAAATGACGCTGATTCTCTTATTCAATATTCTTAATTCTTGAGCTCAATTACTAAATTTGTAACTGCTAAATGTAACTTCATTGCACCCCTTAAAGCCCGCTATAATGTATTTTTTCCCTGTGTTGCAGTGAGAGTGAGGCAAGCGGCAGCGCCCGCGTCACGCCAGTACAGCAGCGTCGTCGGCAGGTGCCGACCAAGCATCCTCACCGTCGCGGTCGTAAGGTCAGCGCACCCCCAGAACTACAGCCACACCTCGGACCCTACAACGTCCACAACAAGAAGCACGCGCAGGGTGGTGCGATCACCGACTCGACCGACTCCCCTCACTCCGAGTACATCATCAACATCTCTCCAGGAAATAATTGTAAGTGTTTGGCGCGCGTTCTTTCTAATGAAGAGATTTATTTTGTCAATCTCTATACGATGCTTTTCATGCTCAGGACTGCACGAAATAACTACAAAACTGCCAGTTATTCTAGAAATGAGCCTCACATAATAATACAGAATGATAGTTTTCTTATGTAAGAACACATCCCGCAGAAGAAAGTTCGTTTCCTGCCTGGTTGATTAAAAATAAATAAAGAAGTAAAATAACCTTAATTTTATCATACGGTGACGTTTTCCTTCTCTTTCTTCGCAGTTTCCGACGGACTTTACAGTGGTTCCGACTCCGGAGTCACCTCTGAATACTCCTCGTGGGCTATCCCTGTCAACGGCCACGTGAGACAGGATCAATCGCAATACGAAGACGACCTCACCCCGCCTGGCGGTTCAGTTGAAGATCTTGTTAATGAGAACTCTAAAAGACAGAAGGACAAATACAATTTCACTTCTGATTCAGAGTCTGAGGTAAGATCTTCATCATAGTACAGATAATATATTCGTGAGTTTTTATGCGAATATGAATAAAGTGAAAGTAATTTTGTGAATGTATTTATTAATAGCAATTTTTTCTATCAACAGAGCACAGGAATGAACTCTCCACTGTCCTCTCGTCGCCGCGGAATGGACAATGCAGCATACGTTAACACCGAGCCCAGAGCCCTGGTGCTTGCAGTTGATGGACCTCCACCTCTGAACAGATCCATGACCGATACTAACTTGCTGGGAACTCACTCAAATGTCATTTCTTCATACACCGGGTCAGCGGCCCAGGCAAGCTCGCTACCAAGAAACCGCAAGAATAGCATGGTAGTTCAACTGAACCTCGGGAACCAAATTGAAACAATACAGGGATCATCCGCTTCAACTCTGCCTGGAGGGAGATCAGTGTCATTAGTCTCTTTAAACCAAGCTGGCATCAGTACTACGCCTAATGCAAACAATTATCCCAACCTTAGCCAGTTTGGTAGCGATAATCAGTCCATTTACAGTGAAATTGGAACACAGTACAACACGGGCTATCTAGGTTCAGCTCACCTCGCAAATGTGATGGGTTCACAAGGGTCCCTAAATGGCCTGAAAGATCACAGCTTAGGCGTAGTATCATCTGCCCCCATGCCCGACGCAGAAGATCATGAATCAGAGCCTACCTCGGAAGAAGAAAAGAAGGCATGGACCATTGAAACTTTGGCTGATAACTTGAGTTTAATCTATGCTATATTCCTTGTCACTTTAGGAACAGTGATCTACTTAGCTGACACTTTCAGTGGTCATGACTCCGCCTTCGCTGAATCCTTCAACATTTTCTTGATAGTCGTTCAACTCGCTTGGCTTATATACGCACACATTGATGTTCGGCACTACATCCAAACTATCATGAAGGCGATGGAAGAGGCCAGAGAACGAAACCAAGGCAAAAGCGAGGAAGTCGTTCTGGAGCCCACCGGAGATGGCCAATATCAGCTACGTATCAACTTGCCGGAACCTAGGAAAACTATTCCACAACATTATGGCTTCACTTCAGGGCGACATGGAGGTTCCCTCTACTTAAAAATCGGAGCTACTGGTAAGTTAAACGTTTTATAATGTGCGATTTGTGAAAATGAGTGTGCAATGTGTGAAAAGTTTAATATTTATTTAATATTTCTTTATAAGTTTGAAAACGTGTGTACGTATTTTGCAATCTACAAAATGTAATTTAACATCAAGTATACTTTTGTTTTAGGATGATTGAACGAGAGTGCGAATATTACAGAAAATCCATTTATTTGCAGTATTCTGCTTCGGTCACCTGATCCATTCCGGACTGAACCTCGGACAGAAGATCTTATATCTGACCGCTGACGATCCAGCTTTCGAGAACTGCACATGTACTCCAGACGTCGTGATGTCTGTTCTGCAGCCTATATATGCATTCTATAACCTTTTCTTCGTCTTCAAATACTCTAATGTAAGTAAAAGCAAACATTCTTACGTGAAATTATTTTATAACATCATATAATATTTTACATCGGATCCATAATAAATGACTTGAACAAAATCAAATTGAATACTATAAAAAATCGTCTTTTCTCCTTACAGTATCTACTTAGTAGTGCGCTATTAGGTATTTTAAATAAACTAAAATATTTATTTCTCAACAGCTCATTATCAATCGTCGCAAGCTCCTTTCTCGCTTCGGACTCATGCACTGCATTGCCGCTTCTCTTTGCTTCTGGATCTACACAATCATGCAAGAAACGTTGCAGGCTATCGCATCCAAACATTACGATACCGACTACGCAAACGCTTCCGCCTACAGCTCAACGCAAGCTCCACTAGCAATGCCATCTTTCAAAAAAGCAGAGAAAGATTCAGATGAGGATGATGATGATGATGAAGAACCCATGAAAAAAATTCAAAAAGCTCTATACACTGGGACTACAGTTTCTCCATCATGGAGCATCAACTACGGTTGTGAAAAATCGACCGAACTGACCGAGATGATCAATTACACGACTCCGTACTTGTACCCTTTCAGCATTGAGTATAACATCCTGATAGTTGGAGTTTGGATTCTGATATTGGAGAACGTTGGCAAAACTGAGCGTCACACTCACATCCCGTCCGTTGAAGTAACATACGAAGAAGACAACACCAAAGGCTTCTCTTCCAACATGATCATCTATGTGGACTGCCACTCGTCCAACCGGGGTCTTTTCGCAGGTCTCCTTTTGACAGTCGCTACCGTCATCTCAATCATCCTCTTCTTTATCTTCACGTCGTCACAGAACAATGTCATGCTTGGTCTGGTAAGTTTGCAAGCAAGGGATAACTCAATACAAATTACTTTCATTACAGTAATATAACGTTATAAATATCTTCTGTTGCCATAAAATAATGTGACGCATAAAGATGCTTCATAATATTTTCGTATGCTTGCTATAACATGTTTTTGAGAGTGATTATTAATGAAGTATTTTCGTTTGTTTTTACTACATTTTTTGCATCGAAAATAAAAGTACGTTTTTTTCCTTTCCGCAGTACGTGAACGCCTACAGCGCGCTGATGATCCTGTTGGTGATGACCATCGCCACGGCATTTGCTTACCATGCAATCCGGAACCTGGACATCATAAAACATCACATCAGCAACGTTGATGACATTCTACTCATCATATGCCTTCCTTGTATTCTGCTCTTCGCTTTCTTCAGCTTAGTACCCTCAGTACTAAACGGCAGCGTTTTGTTTGCGGCTGTCAATATTATGCAAGTCATACAAACCGTACTACAAACCGTCCTCATCGGAGACGGTCTCCGAAGATGTTCCAACTCTTCAAGCTTACAACAAAAGAAACCCGGGCGAGAAGTCGTCACTTTCTTGGTGGTGGCCAATGTCGCGCTTTGGCTATTAGAAACATTCGAAATCAAGAGTGATGCAGGGAATGCGGACAAATATGCATTCTATGGCAAGGTAAGATTTTAACTCAAATAGGAATGGAATCTTTCTCGTGATAGATACTGTAACAGTTATGTTTACCATGAAATTGAAAATGCATTTATAATGAATGTGTAGAATGAAATGTACAGATTTAATAACAACATTTTTTTTCTCCAACAGAATTTGTGGACGCTGTTGTCTCACTTGACGCTGCCTCTGGCTCTATTCTATCGCTTCCACTCTTCCGTGTGTCTCGCTGATATGTGGAAAGCTTCTTACGAGCCAGAGAGTGAACACTAGCCTCCTCCCACCTTCTGCCTGCTGCTGGCCAGCGTCTCGAACAACCAACTAGCTCGGTGCTAAGAGGAAAGCTTCAACAGCATGCAGATTTCAATGTGCTTCTAAGTCAATTTAAAGAGCCATATATTATCATATGGATCTTTTCTTCATCTACTTTGTAGATTTGAAGTCATCGTTGACGCTAGTTCAGCACTTCCAGCAGCCGCTGAACTTGTACAATTCTGCTGCAGCCACAGGGAGTGTTTTCATCCATAACCTTCGTTAAATTCAAGAACCGCATATCGATGGCTTCAAACTCATCAAACGAAGCCAGCTGGTTCACACGTCTCCTTGGGAGATACTAGCTAGAGATTTATTACGCAGGTTATTGTGGCTGAACGGCACCAGTAGACATCCAGTGCAGGATAAGGGCAAGTTGGCGGTATCGGTTTTGTTGGACGACTAGCGCCATCATTCTTGTACATAGCGATCATTTTTCGCACTCATCTACTCTTGACATGATCATCATCCTGTATTTATGATTGATGTGTAAATATTATATACCCAGGCCACTAGAATGTGATATTTAGATTCTAAGTGCTGCCCGGTTCTAATCTATTGTGATTGAACTTGTGTAAAGGCTCACTCCATGCAGGTTTGGGGACGTTTTGATCCAAACTATACATTGCCTGATTTCGATAGTTCAGATTTTTTAGGTTAGGCTTCTTATGCTTTATGTCATCGCTTATGCTGATGGTGATTGAGAACCCACTGTGATTTCGTACGGCTTCCATTGATAAGTTTGCGATTACCGTGGACGCAGTTTTGAAGATGATGTTATATATAGAGCTACAGGGCATTAGACACATGACAAGACGGTACATCGTGTACACTTATATAAGAATATCTTATACCTAATAATTAAGCTCGAGCGAGATTCAGAGTACGAATCCATGATGTACTATGCCAAATACATAGTTGAAAAGCAAATATACGTATAAAAATATAATTCTTTTGTACTTTCCCTTTAATTTATAAATTTCATTTCATTAGTGTTGCTAGATGATATTCAATAGCCTAACCGCCACTAAATAATTACCGAACAACACTCCGCTCAGAAAAAGTGATTGGATAATAGATTTAATGATAAACAAAAATTTATATTAAAAAATTCTTTAAAAAGTGATGGAGCTGTCGTATACTCGGTTTTTTTTAGAGCTGTCAAAGTTCTTTAGCATTGTAAGATACTCGCGGCAAATTGGATACAGGGTTTACTCAAATGGAAACTAAATTTCAACAAACATTTCCCATTCCAGGTCGTAATTACAAAATAATTAAAATAATAATAGTTCTCGTTTACTGCATAACAAAAATAATGACGTACTAGCTTGTAAATTAGACCGGTAAATTTTGATTCTTATTGAGGTACCTACACTATGCACGATTGTTTCCAAGTTTCGCTAACATTTTTGTTTAGAAAGATGGACACGAGTTAAAATAAGAGAACTCGAAAAAAAAATCATATATATATACGATTACGATCCATGATGGGAATGTGATTTTATAGAAAAGGATGCGAGTTTATCGTTTATTTTACGATAAATAATGCAAATTATTCTATTTCCTGCGCGTCAAATCATGTTCAAATTGCAGAAGCGCTTACATAAATGTTATTTCAATGTTGCAAAAAAAGTTTAGAATGAATGACAGATTTCTTCAATAAGGCTTTTTCGATATGTTTCGATATAAAATAACGAGCTACATGGAGGAAAGTTACGGACGAGAAATCAACATTCAGTCGCTCATACCTGGTGTTAAAGCAGCAGACAAAAACGTTGTTGTAAATGCTAGAGTTCATGCACCAATTCCTGTTTCCGAACCGGTTACGATGGATAGCTAAAGCTATAGTTCAAGGCACAATCATGCATGTTAGCTCGGCGAGTGATTCATCGATATTTCACCCATTTCTATGGCCTATGCATGTAAATATTGTTTGCAGTTTTCCCCCTAAAACAATTAAAAAATTTTTTATGACGTTGGGGCTGCACTTTCTACATCTTTGCTTCCTTTTTGCATTCAAATTTCATTTAATCACTACGATTGATAAAATACCACTTACTGCCCATAAGATGTTAGGTACTACTGCATATATATGAGGTCCAAAAGATGCACGAAAAATTGAAGATCGTATCTAAGTTACCGAGATGGTAAGCACGTTCAAAAATAACAAAGTTTACCACCACAAAAAAAAAACTTATCGATAATACAGAAAAAAGCCTCAACTACATCGAGAACATGACATTTTACAGACACGTGTTCGTTATCATTTTCTTCTTAAATCATTGATCCAATTACATTTACCGACAAAAACGGTAGAGGAGATTTGCAACAAATTTCTCAAGCGGAGCAAATCTCAACGAAGGTTCGAACGCGAAGTTGCAGCGCGGTAGGTCTGTGTGAGCGAATTAAGGCTACGTAGGCGATCGGCAATGCACAAAGTTGGAGCTTAGTTCAATGACAAAGTTATTGTGGCAGAATTAAATAATTACAATTGAAAAATAGCTAGAACCGTAGAACGAATATATAGAAACTTCAAAGTAACAACTCTGTAACTATCATTCATTTTGAAGCACGAGCTTTCAATTTCATCTATGGTGGCATGGTTCCGTCTCTTAATCATTTTTAAGAACCAATGCGATGCAGTCATTAGAATATTCAAAGAACAACAACATAATTTAACTTACGTTTTATTGCAGACAACGACTGCAGTGTTCCGTAGTTTTTGAATACTGCCGGACGGCAATCAATGTTTTCGGACTTGACATTTTCTCACTCTTTCCAGGTTTCTTACACACCGTCGAAAACTCTTGAATCGCCATAACACTAGGTACGCAGTTAGTTAACAGTTTACCAATCACGTAATCACTATAATACAAACTATGGAAAAAATGCTCACCGATACATCAAATTAAACTTTAGAACTGGCCAGATTATCACTTCTCTTAAAAAATACCTAATTTTTCCTAATTTCTCTTAAAAACCTCATAATTTTCACTTTATCCATTCATGGGATCACGGATCAACTGTTTCCACAGTACTGCAGCCTTGTAGGTCAGTGACTGTTCAGTGGCGACTCGGAAGCTTTTTCCTTTGCTTTTGACACTGCATTCAATCATTTGGATGAATATCTTGCATTTATTTCAGAAGAACCTACTGCATAAATAAGTTAAATTAAACTGTATAGTTTTATATTTCATACATTTGCGTATGAATTATACTCAACGTTACTTTAAACCAATTTAATCTTCTGCATCAGTACGTCGACCTTACCACGGCAAAGCGACTGTTAGCACTGAGGATAAAACATGTATAATTTTACAATTCTGTGCGCTGTATGTCATATAATTCATTCAGAAATAAAATTAAAAGAACAAAATTAACCTAAGGAGACAATTGGAATTTGTAAATGAACCATTTAGTTCTTAATTAGAAGTTAGTTGTACTCACTTGTACATATGGGAGACCAAGGACTATCTACTCACTACTCACTTTGCGGTAATGATGCTAAATTTTACAGCATAAAGTGTTTACCTTAGTCGTCATCTCGTCGACAAGAAGCTCGCTAACAAAAATAGTAAATTTAGTTAATATGGTATAGTTAGTGTTTAATTACTGGATATTTCAACTTTTCTAGCATTCAGCCGGCTTTTTACCTCCTTTCTACATATATAATTTTACATGCCATTCATTATAAATGGTTTTTGAACGCTGACTCTATATATAACCTGCTGTCACATCAGCCGCAAGATGGCGCCAGCGTATTCAATTGGACCCGGTTTTGAAATACAATTCATAAATTTGTCTATATGAGAAATATAAAATAGATTTTACACACATAGATTTATTAGTAGTAAAAAAGTGTTGTTCAGTTTATAAATGAGTTTTTGTCAAAAATTTGTGCGTAACTATGCTATTCATAATATTTGAAATTAAGTTAGAATATCGTTTTGCTCTCATGCTGGAATATATTAATTTAAAATAATCAGACACGTTTGCGTCATGACCTGCGAACAAGAAAATGTTTCTCGTAATATTCAACTGCTAAAAAATATACGAGTCCAGTTGCTATATTAAGAAGGGCTAAGAGTTAGTCTCCAGTGACGAGTCAAAATCTAATCAGGTTTCATCACGCGACGCAAGCGTGGCGCACCAGCATGTAACTTGTGCTGCACACAATCAAGGCTCAGAGCGCACGTTAGGTACCAGCGCCACACTCATAATTCCGCCAACTCTGAACTGAAATAAGAAAATTTTCTTATTAGAATATTAGTACTAATGCCCCGGCGCGAGCATTGGAAAAATTTTCTCGTTCCGATTCGCTTTAGAATAGAACAATTAAAATTTGTAAAGATTAGGTTAACTTACGAATGCTAGGTAACAAACCTGGCAGTACCCATGGTCGACATCGTTGATGGCAGTATCTATCCTAACCTGCTGAGTGGTCGTTTAAAACTTGCGCTTTAATTACATAGAAGCGAACCAAAAAAGGAAAAATTCTCGCGATGCTAGCAGCGGCGTAATAATACCGATACAACTTCTTTTAACCCTCTACCGCCGTATGTCACTCTCCGGGAACATAACAACTTTCAACTTAGATTATACGTAAACTATCGAGTGTAGCAACCTGAGGACGTTTGTACACAACAGAAAACATTTTAAAGTCGTCGTACGTGGCGGCAACCATCATTGCAAGTCATTATGCGTTCATTAGAAGTTTAGAACGTATCCTTGTTGGTAAGTAGGCTTGTGACAATATTGCTCCCATTACCCATATCATGCGGCAGAAGGTTGAGCGACGGAACAGCCAAATAATAATTAAGCAATTTGGAATTATGGGGCATTTGCTCTTTTTAGCGTGCGTCGTTGCATTGCACTCCGCCGCTGTCGAGTCTGTATTTGGGTGGGTGCGGAGAAATGTCGTTTGGGTGCTTCATCCTCAGTTTTTTGTCACTCCATCCTCAACGATCTCGCCAACTTGAATCTAAGATTAGTTTTTCTTACGGACCTTATTATCATAAAAATTGTAAGTCAAATTGTTATTTTTCTAACGTAAAATACTGATCTTCTAATGTCATCATTTGTTGCCACTGGAGTGCACAAAGAAAAAGAAATTGTTTATTATTCAGCTACGGCCACTCTATATCACTGAATTCCAAACGTTGCGGGAGTTATCGCTATTTTATCAAGGAATTCAGTTAGTCCAATTATAATTACAATAACTTGGAAGCTGACATCTCCAAACCCCACATCGCAAAAAGTGGGCTCGTCGGGAAGTGTTCGAATCCAGAATGTTTAGATTTAAACAAAAATCAATATTTTCTGTAGTTTTTGATATTTGTTCCAAAAAACGTAAGCACAACTTCGAAAATTAATATTTCAATATAGTTCGCAATATTTTCTCCAATAAATTATTCGTTTTTTTCGTACTCTTTTACTTCCCGATTTGGTTAGGTTATTAAGGTCACTATAATCAAAGTTGTGTCATAATTTACAATTTCATTCTAATGAATTACGTCATTTTTAGTTATGACGTCGCAATGACCGATTTAATTGCCAGATTCCAAACCAAGTCTTACCTTTTTTTCCGAAACGCCGCATTGGATAAAATGAGTCAGAAACATTGTGGTATAGAAGCGTGTTTCTTGATGTTATTTGGGTATTACAGCATGTTACTGGATGTCATTGGTATGAAAGCGTGTTCTTGATGCTTGTGAGGTATAATAGTGTATAACTCGATGCCGTTGAGGTATGAAAGAGTGCTGCTTGATGTCCTTGGCAAGTAGAAACGCAGTACACAATAAAATTAGGGTAAAAACACTTGTTGCGCTTCTTCCACGTCGCAACGTGCGAGCTGTAGTAAGATAAAAGTTATAACTAATGTCATTATATTGGCGTTTGAAACGAAAAAGTTTCCCATCACAATTTTGGTCCTCGTAAATTATTCATTAC